TATGTACATATAATAGCTATACATAAATAATAACTATATATAAATATATATGTATACATAACTATATATAGTAACATATATAATAACTGTATATATATATAACCTATATATATATATAAAGAATATATGTATATACATAGTAACTATTTGTGATAACCGTATGTCAACTATCTCAACTATATATCATATCAACATATATAAACTATAGATAGTCAACTCTATCTCTCTCTCTCTCTGTATATATGTCTAAACTATACCAACCATACATCCTAATCAACTATAAGTTAACTCTAAAAACTCAATCACACCTCAATGATGTCATAACTATAGTCACAACTGTGATCATAACTATATATTATAGCTATCTAGGGCTTTCCGATCCATAGGGGTGCCCCAAAATCATCCATTTTATGTTTGGATTTTCCATGAAATAAACCATTCAGCGATCAAGGGGTATCCCCATTTATCATATATACTATATATACTATATATATATATTGTATATATAACGACTATATATTATAGCTATATATATATATACACATAAATTATAAATATATATATATATATGTCATAATCATAAACTATAGATACACTTCAGATAAACCCGCCAAGGCACTACGATCAAGAGGCAGCTGGAGTTCTGCTCCATCAACGGCAGGCGTGGCGGCCTCCAAGCGTTGACAAAACATGGTTTTCCAATGGATTTAGGGTCTTCAATGGATTTTCCAATGGGCGTCAAATGGATTTTCAATGATTTTTCAATGGGTAAAAGTGGGTTTTCAATGGTCTTCAATCTGGCGTTTCGAACAAGCATCATCTTTGGGATGGGATGGAAAATATGTGAAACAATTGAAACAGATTGAAAGCACAATGGGCCAAAGAATCTGTGAGTATCACCCATGTACCAGTCCCCTGCGTGGCGCAGTCTCTCAACAGGACACTGTTGCTGGTACCCCCAATCAATGTCTACTTATGTCTACTGATGTGGTACCTTGTGGTACCCCCCATCAAACAACCCAGCCGGAGTTTATAAACCAAACGCTAGTGGGATCATCTTGGAGTTTTTCAACCAGGGGGATTTCACTAAAGTTACGGGGGTATTAAAATATTAAACCAACCACAATGTGGATATCATGGAGACATGTGTCCAATCATCGGGGAGTTGTTTTGCCGTGGCGTCTGTGGTGACGTACCGATTTAGTTAGCAATGTCCTAATCTTCATTGTTTGTTGTAATATCCACTGCTTTCTTTGGTCATATCCCCACCTTTTTGGTTGTACCGTCCGAACCCAAGCAGTGAATGGAGAACCAACTTCATTTTTGTTGCTCAACCGCTGCTGTAGCTTTGATGCCCATTCTGCTAGCAACTCTGAACCATAGAAACAATAGTCCTTCCAGTTGTATGATGCTCCGGCTGGCTACAACCGATGGTCCCAAATTCGAACTGGGATGACCATGGTTGGGACTTTCTAACCGGGCCTTCCTTTTCCACACCGTTGGGTACATCACCAGTTCAGTTGGTTCAATTCCCAATTCTGAGTTCCGCAATTCCCATGAACCATGAAAATTGCCCTATCCCATCCCATTCTAAACTCGGTAAGTAGATTTTCCCGGCTCCAAAAAAATGGGGTAGTTCATCATATTGCATAATCCCATAATGCCCCATTACCAGTTAGGTTCATCATATTGCACCCCAAGAAATCAACAATAACTCCACCGTGGTATATCTTTAATGGTTCCCATGATCTCAGGTGGCCACCTGCCAATGGCTCCGAGGATGGAACCAAAGGCCTCATGCAGAGCGGAGAAAAGGCCTCGGAGAAAACAGCGTGGAAAACGCGAGGGGTGAGGAATTCCATTGGGCGAACACAATAAAGGACATATTATGACATATTGTGAGTTGGTTAAAGGCTGTTAAAGGATATTAAAGGATGTTAAAGGATGTTGAAGGCTCACTTTCAACAGAGTTTGCATTAAACCAGAAGAACTGAAGGTCACTGAAGGTCAGTCACTGAAGGTCAGTCACTGAAGGTCATCTCCTCCCCTTGAAATGGCACTCTCCGCCGCGTGACGTGTGAAGGCCACGAAGGGGTTCATCGATCTGGCGCCGTGCGACGTGGGACTGGATGATTGCGGCAGGTTGGATACTGCGTCTGGATGATTCAAGCTATTTTCCATGTAGCTTGTATCACCTGTAAGTAGGTTGGTTACCACCACTTTGTGGTCCCATTTGGCAGTTCTATCTTGGATATTTGTTGACTGTTAATGATTTCTTTAAAATCCTCTGATTGGTTGAATCAACAGTTGTTATTTTCATTGCTTGAATCACCTTCTTGCCCAAATCTTATTGTTTGGGGTTTAATTTCCGTTTTGCCACGTTTTTGTTAGTTAGATATGGCTTCGTCAAAATTTGGGTACACCAACATCCTTTGTTTTATCATCATGATACCTTCAGAATAACCATTTGGAGGGTAGATGCCACTTTCAGACAGACTCATATTCATTTTTTTCCAAATATCACATTGTTGTTGGATATGTTGGCCATGCATATATATATATAGACATATCCCCATAAATATACCATTAAAACCCTGCTGCTGATGGTGAAAACCACCATTTGCAAGTTTTTTTGGGGGTGAACTCCACCTCGTCGATTTTTTGCCCCGGCCCGGCACCTGTTGCTGCTGACGTCATCCTCCTCACCGAGCGAATGGGGCACGTAGTAGATCGTATTAGTAGATAAGGAGAGCAATCATAATGATCATAAGAGGACACCAACTGACGACGACAACAACGACGACGACGACGACGAGGAGGAGGAGGAGGAGGATGATGATGATAGGCCCCAACGGCACCGAGAAACAACATCACAATCACCAAAACAAACTATGAATCTGCCACAATTCTCCATGAACAAATGCCCCAGCAATTTTTCAACAGCGACATATGAAACTTGGGCACCAGCCTCGCTGGAGAGGATGGCCGCAGACCTGACAGGGGTGGGATTTGGCATGGACACCACCGGATAGATGGTGCTTCATTCGTTTTCTTTACACACATGTATATGTATATATATGTATCTGTGTGTATATATATATGTATCTGTGCGTGTATATATATATATATGTATCTGTGTATATATATATATATGTAAATGTATATGTGTATGTGTATGTCTATGTATATGTCTATGTGTATGTGTACGTGTATGTCTATGTCTATGTGTATGTCTATGTCTATGTGTATGTGTATGTCTATGTATCTGTGTATATATATACATATTGTAAATAAAAAGGTCCTGAAAGGATCCCCAACATGGGTGCTAAGCATGTTGTTTTCGCTTATCAAGCTGGCCACCTGGGATGACCTTTTTCTGTTTTCATGCCCATCATGAAATTGGGGGATGCCATATTTTATCCATCATTTTTGGACAAAATCATGGGTTAAATGGGGTGCAATACTTTTTAACCCCATGGTATGCTCATAATATTGTTTTGTTGGTTTTGTGGATAAGAATCTAAGTTGCTGTGCCCCATGCAAGACTAATGCTTTCTTAGGCTTTGTAGCGGCAAGCCATTATGACAATCGACAAGTGAATAACTTTGCGGCTCCATTCCAACTATTCAAAGATTTCCTACCGACCTTTACTACGACTCCTGATCCATTTTTGGTGAGGCAACGGGCTGAGAAACGTGCGCTGCCACCGCTGACACGGTGGTCTGGGCAATGTAGCAATGGACCTGGAGCACTCCAGGGTGACCGGGTCATTCTTGGAGGGAATCCTTTACTTAGACGATCTGTGGTAGATGATTTATTTGGATTTGCATTTTTTTTGACGTGACTGGAGGCTATGTCATGGTGGTTGTTTGAATTCCAATGACTTCCTACCTGTCAAGCATTTTCTGCAATCCGGAATCTCTTTTCATAAGCTTCCAACTTCGAATAAACACCCTCTTGGAAGCACTATGGCAATGGAACATTCTGGTGATGTGGATTTCACTCAGCATTAGGCTAGACTGGCCAGGAAACGGTCGTTAAAAGCACAACAATCTTTAACTGGGTGGTTGATAGGTATCCCCATTGTGGGTCTAATAGTCTCCAAACATCGGAGTTAGGTTCCTAGCCCCCTATAACTATCACTGATCAATTTCATCAACTTCATATCTTTGACAGTTAATCCCTATAAAAAACCCATTAAAAACCATATAAAACCCATATAAAACCCCTATAATTGATGCTACAAAGCCCCTATAATAACCACGCCCTACCAAACGGTGGGTCCCAGTTGGCTCGCCGCGCCGTGTGAATGCGTTGGCGCCGCAGCTGTCGTGAGGTCTTCAAACCTCCTGGGTTTTTCAACGCCGCGCCAAAAAAGAGTGGAACATAGCTATTGAAAATGGTGATTTATAGTTGATTTACCCAGCTATAAATGGGTGGATTTTCCATTTCTATACTTGATTTTTACCAATCAGCCAGATACCCTGCAAAAAAATGTCGAAATTCTTTGCTGGTGAACGTAGATATTCGCATTGATACCAAAAAGGATTTTTAGTATCCATCCAAGATGGACCTAGTAACTAGTATCCAAATGGGACGTGTCGCATTCATCTTCTGAATTTCAAGCAAATTTCGAACGTAATATGTCACTAACAAATGGGAGCTGTTATATATATGACAATCCAATACAAACATCAGATGGTGTGGTTACTAGATCATATACATTGGGGATTTGATCACCAGTAAATGGGGTTCTAATCAACAATGACAAGCCATGGATAACAACCCCCTGGCCAACATGGACAGGAAATAGCCATATAGCCGTCTTTTTCGAAGCCGCTTTCCGGATGGGAATCTGGGATGGAAATGGAGCGTGGAATTCCACCTCCAGGGCTGGCAAATCAGAGACAAAAGGACGACATATTTAACTGGTTGGTGGTTTCAACCCCTCTGAAAAATATTAGTCAAATGGGATTAGTGTTCCCAATATATGGATTAAGGTTTGAACCGACAAATTGGCCATAGAAAAGCAGCCTCTACCGGCACTGTATGGAAGACATAACCGAGATCCCCTCAGCGGACTTTTTCTTCTCAGTCCGTTAGCGTAGCGCTGAGATGATGGAAAACCACACCTCTGTGCAAGGCTGACCAATGACCAAAAAACATATCCAGGGAAATTCGATGAATCTAATGTTCATGATGAAGAATAACCGTTATTCCCAGACATCTTTTGAGGAGGCTGGCAATGGTATACAATCCAACTGACAATACTATGTCAGTTTGTTAGTGCGCAAGTTCCACAAAATTGATTATGCTGCCTAACAGAATGCGCAGAACGAACAAAGCCTTGATCATTTTCGATCGGACTAAACCATGACCGGGCATCTACATACATGTACATACATATGCAGGTTATTACAACCGTATTTCTATGCGCATTTGACATGGGGTAGTAGCGCCAATGATAGCTTGGTAGGGCAAATGAAAGCACTAATCTAGTAGTATGACACAATGCTGTTGAACCAAAAAATTGAAGTGCAAGACTTCTGAAGTCTCTATATTTTTGGGATGACGTTGATTTGACCTAGCGACTGCATCTGGGCTCCCGTTTTTTGCAACATGGGCGGCACTTTTGGCATTCCAAGCATGTTTTGCGGACCCAGTCGTGAACTATACTGTTGTCTTGGAAGGAGAAGAAATGGCTTTGCAAGATGATTCGACTAACAAAACTCGCAAGGCTTCAAGCGCGGAACCCAAATGATTTTTTGATGTATTAAATCACACATTTTGATGTAACCAACAATTCTTGATGAAGGGACATTAGTTCAAGTGTTGCCATGTTACCCTTCTGCCCCACTTGAATATGTTGAAATGGTATCCCATTATATATAAATACATAAATACATTTGTATATATATATATAAATGCATATGTCGATAAATAAACAAATAATTAAATCCAAATAATTAAATAATAATCAAAGAAATAAATGTGTATATATATATTTACAGATGTATACATATCGTGGGGATGATTAAATGCTTGCACAGCTTGCACATAGTTACCACATGTGGTGAAGCCAATTTCACACATTTCTGAGACATTCGGGATGGTTTATGGTCAAGGCTTTTACCGTGGGGACAATAACCCTATCACCCCTGCAATCCATTTAATCTTTGTATACATTTATCTGTGTGCATATATATATATATATATCTATATATATATATATTTATATGTACAACATATGACTATAGACTATTCCTGTATTTTCTATGAATCTTATAAATATGACTTATATGACTTACAATTCCTGAGAGCACGCCCATTTTTTACCCAGGGCACCGCCATGAGTCCCAATAGAGCGCTGGACACCAACCAGGGTAGCGTGGCGTGGAGGTCGCTTGCGGAGGGGTTGAAGAACACCTGAAGTTTCAGTGGTTGGTTATAACTGGGTTATACCCTCTGGTTATGTCAAAATAGCTATTGAAAATGACCATTTATAGTGGATTTTCCCATTAAAAATTGTGATTTTCCATAGCTACGTTAAATTACCAGAGGGTATACCATTAATATTGGTTGGTTAACCCCCATTAATTAAGTATTGGTGAAAACTAGAGTTAAAGAGGTAGATATACCGTAATATACGAATTTCATGGGGGTTATAAACGAACATTCCCATCACTGGGGGCACCACCTTGTGGAATTGGAGGTACCCGTCTATGAGACTATCCACCCAATTGCTGGGAGGGGGTCAATGGGTGGACAAAGGTGTGGACACAGTCAAAGTGGGAACCAAACAGTTGAAATAGAGATATTTTTTGAGTGTCACAACAAACATGCAGATCTTTCAGAATAAAAGGGGAGCTACATGTATTACAATTAGATATGATATAGCCAATTTTGGACTGGGCTTTTTGACGGCGGGGATGTAACTCACACTGGACCGTGGCACATCATCTTCCATCAACAGCATCGGGCGACCGAAATGCCATATGCCATCCCATTAACTAACCATCACTGCAATCCAATAAGGGGATGGTTTATTCTGTCAAAATTATCCTAGCGATTCTCCCACTATTGTCCTATTGTCCTATGGAAATCATCCCATTCATCTCCTATGGCATCGGGCAATAAACAACCAACGTCCGCGCATCGCCTGGCTCCAGAGTGGCCCCAGAGGCATGCCCAACAAAGTTCCGACCTCGACTGGTGACACTTCGTTGCAGGTCCTGTGTTCCGTTTCTCGTATCTGCGTCCATCTGAATGCCTATCTATTAATCTACAGCTGGTGTTTGTCTAATCTACTCTAGTGTGACTCAGTCCGTTCATCCATCTGATTTTGCCTTCTCGAACACAGTATGCAGGGCGATTCAAGTGATATGCATTGATATACCCCAAAATTCTGGGCAGTTCTGTGTCAACCTGCTGCCTGGAACAAAAACACATGCTTCAATGCTACCGTTGGTCACGTTACTCGTTCCTCGGGATAGGAGTTGACCTTTTCTCATGTCGACCGCGGGACTTTTTATGGAGACTTTTAAAGCATGTGAAATTTTGTTGGCCCAAGTTTCGCAACTTCGCAATTATTTTCACATCTTTGCTATTTCAACATCTTTCAGATATTTTCACCATTTTACATCATTTACCCCATGAAAATATATGAAAATCTAGACTTTCCATGATTTCCACCCATTTTTCCAGCGTTTTCTCCTCCTTTTGCAGGGTTTCCTCGGTTGCCGTCGCCGGTTTCACCGGTTTCACCGAGGCGCCACAATGGCGAGGCCGAAGACCTGCCCGGTGCACTCCGGCGGCGCGTGAGCGCTGATCAGCGAGGCGAAGCAGGGCGACAAGACGCCGAAGGCCACGCCTGATTGGGACACAGAGATAGAGGATCTATATATATATCATATATATATATTATAATATAGTATATGTATACACAGACACATATATACATATATATATATATATACACATGTATACATACATTCTAGATGTAAAACATTTTGTAATGTCAAGCCCGGATGAAGCTCTATCCTGGTCGATGAATTACGTTCTTGAGATGGGGAGAGAGAGCCAAAAACCAGGTCGTGTTTCGACGCATAACCAGGGGGCAGTGGTGGTGTCAGGTAGTGCTTTCCCAGCAACATTTTTGATCCCCTGAAATCTGGATGAAACATCGTTAAACTGTCGGAAACCATCGGTTCAATCATTTCAAAAAGTCTCCAAAATTACGTTTCAAAAACACCAAAATTACATCAATTTAGCTAGCATTTTCGTTTTTTTTTGGTCATTTTCATATGGCAGTGTGTCAAAACCAATAGTAGCCCTGTAGTTCACATCAAAATTTAGCTGGTTTAGCTGGATGTTCATCCCCATATAGGTATTAATAGGTATTAACAGGTATTATGGATGTTCATCCCCATATCTAAAAATGGTAAAAAAATAGGTATTGATTCATCCCCCATATCTGAATCATTTGGGTTCTCCAAGCATTTCCATCCAAGTCGTCCCAGGTGCCAAAGCTCCCCACCCCAAAGACCCAAAAGAGATGCGCCGCATACGCCGGGAAGACCTGGTGGCGAGAAAAAGGTGCAGCACCAAATTGGGGAAATATGTTGTTGGTTATGAATATATATATATTCTTATATATATTTATATACTTATATATATATATATGTATAATTATATATGAATCAATCCATACATATAATGGTACATGTTGATTCTCTTATGCTACATGCTGATTCTCATTGTAGTGATAGTTAGATTGGATAATGATTTCAACCAATGCGATTCCATAAGTGAAATACAAACATATCGCCAGGCAGAAAATCAAATATGTTCGAAGGAAAACAAAGGAACATAATCTGTAATTGCCTTTTCTATTGTTGCGGCCTTGGATTCCAATAGAGCAACTTGGATTTGCCAGGGTATATACTGGGGGAGTTTGCAGGAAGATGAAGTGCGTGGTACATAGGACAATGATTGGAATGGAGCAAGCAAACAATGGAAAGATTAAAAACTGATACAGAGTAACCAAACTCAGTGTCCTAAAACGAAACTACAAGAAACATGACAACGTGAGTGAGAATAGAACCAAAAAGGATAGGCATTGCACCGGCAATACCGTGCTGCCAAGATGTTGGAACACAGGTCAAGTTGGTAGCCGCTGGTAGTTGTGACAGTAAGAGTCATCACCGAGGGAAGATCTCAGCCACTTGAAGTGAATGGTTATTTTTTCCACCTGGGGAAATGCTTCAAAGTCAGAGTGGATATGCATTACGTGCATTGCTCATGATACCCAGTAACCCTGTCTGGAGCTATTATTCCAGACCGGTGATATGAGAAGCCTCCAATTTTTGATGGATTCCAGTTCTCCCAGCATTTTCTCAAACATCATTTCCAACAACATGCAACAAAGATGTTCTTTTCTAATTTCCACCGATTTCCAACTATACTTCCAACCATTAACCATTCTCCAATTTTTTCCAACCATTCTCCAATCATTTTGAACCCATTTTCAACCCATTTTCCATATGGTGGTTTCCAATCCACAGGGCCATCCCCAGTTCTCATCCATTTCTGGAATTTTCCATAAACCATCCAGCGATATATTTAGGGGTACCACCATTTATCACATATATATATATATAGAGCTATATATATATATATTATATATATATATATCTCATGACTATATATTATAGCTATTATTGTATATATATATACATACATAAATTTCCATGGAAACCAGCTTAGATTTCCCAGCATTTTTCCCAAGTGACAGGCCCCAGGCCACAGAGAGCCCAGGAGATGGACATGGCCAGCAGCGATGCGCCGTGCACCACGTGGACGCCGCCTGAAGTTCAGAGGTTTTAATGTGGATGTTAAATACCAATGTGTTAATATAGTATATAATAGGAAACCATGGAAAATAATCATAACAGAGATAATACTAGAATAATATGATAGTAAATACTAGAATATGATAGACAATATAGTATATTTTCCGGAAAACATGGAACACATATAGAGATATAATACATGTTGGCGCCAAACCCCACGTTCGCCCACACCCGAAGAACACACCCAAACAATATCACATACTTGTCATCAGAGGATGAATGAAAACACTGGCTATACGCAGCCATTTTCACTTTAGGTTTTTGGGATTTAAGGTTTAATTTACGGTTTAGGTTTTTAGATGTTTTTAGAGTTGTTGGGTTTTAGATTTTGGACAGTAAAGCAACGCTAGCCCTACGCAGGGGTTTGAGCATGTCACAGGATATGCAGGATCCTATGTGGGCAAACGTGGGGTTTGCAGCGTACATGTTGATAATAATAACAGTTATAATACTAGAATAATAGATATTATATTGATATTATAGTATAGAGTAATATACAATTATAGATTTATAGATGATTTATAGATGATTTACCTGCCATTTCGTTCAGGGATTTTCCAGCCATGAAAAAGCCAGGAGCCGGCCGAGAGCTCGATCAGCTTCCACCTCGACGCATCAAGGGGCCACTGCTTCCAGCACCCAGCAGCAGAGCAAAGAACCAAACAGCGCGGCAAATGGAGGCATTGGCCTGTTCCATACCTGGTTGGCTGATGGTTGGCTGATGGTTGGCTGATGTTTTTTTTAGGATTTGACCAACAATTCTGGACTTCTCGGCAATCTGTGATGATTTTTGATGGGAAAATCATTTGTCAATGGGGATTTAAGCAACACACAGGGAAACAATGGGGTATCCTTGGGATAGATAGATTGACGATTTTGATGAGCATGTCCTGATCTTAACGGGATATTCTTTATGGAGATATCATGGGGATATGATGGGACACATCACCAAAATATGCTATGGGCATGCCTGAAAATGGGGGATTACCTTTCAAAACATATGTTTCTTTGATGAGAAGGTGATGCTTATCCAATGGATTTTGGGGCTATATTCAGACAAACCATGCAGCTGGTTGCTGGCTTTTTTCAACGGACACATCAAAAATCTCGACCCAGAAGCAATCAAGATTTTGGTTGGAACCGAGGCTCTGCGATTTTCAAACACCCAAACATGTCGGTACATGTCGCTACTAAAGTTACTACAACTGGAAACATGGCATTTCGCCAGGTGCAGTATGCCACAGGAAAATCCATCGGAGTTGGTGATGCCCTGCTGTAGAACTAGGATGACCCACGATGCTGCGGACAGAAATGGGCCATGTGAAACGAAATGACCATCTACCAATAATCTCTCATCCTACCAATCCAACATACATCTTTGGCTCTAAAATCCCTACATGGTCTGCGGATGAGTGGATGATTTGGGTCTTTCTAAAGAGAAAGTCCATGAAATTCCCACATCCACGTTGGTTGATTGGAGGCTTATTTCCAAATTCCCACATCATGAGCGCTGCTTCCGTTCCACGCGTTCCAAGGGTCCGAGAAAGGATTGGAGGTACATGGTGGACAACCCCCTTGGTGGCCAGTTTTTGGAACTACTAAGGTGCGATCTTGGAGGCCCCGATGACCCTACCTGACTGGTGGAGATTTCAGAAAAAAATGCTGCAACTTCTGCCATGTAAAAAAATACTATGGTAAAGCCAATGCCATTTGTTTGCAGAACTACCATTTGGGGATGGTTGAAATCTCATCTTACCCAAAATTTGGTGGTATAAGACCTATAGGATGGTAGGGGATGCATCCCGGGTGGCCTCGCCAGGATGGGATGACCAGGGTCCCAGGGGTAAAGCCTGCTGGCCCGAGTCAGAAGGAACTTCTGAACCAATCAACCGTAATCAACCGTAAACAAACCGTAATGAATCTGGTGATTTCGGAAGCTCATCTTTCTGCAAATCAGCAGGCTCTTCGCTTTCGCTTTCGGAAAATCGATGCCAAGGGTCCAAGCACCATTGACGGCCAAGGTAATGGTGGCCCAAATCACCAGATATTGACCCAGAAAGCGATCTTTGACGCAACACTGCAGTCCTGGCTCACCCGCTGGTGAAATGAGAAATTATGTGAAATGATGTGAAATGGATGATTTGGGGCCCAGGGTTGAGAAAACATCACTGGATTCCTATTTATTACTAAAAGCTTCAGGATACTAGTCCTCAGAAACTTGAGTTGTCTCCATTCCCAATCTGACTTATGCATCCATACTAGCTACTTGCCATCATTTTTCCATCATTGTTGACAAATCATGTTTTCTTCTTACCATTAACTATCAGCCCCACTTAGTTCTTACCAGTTCTTTTCAGCAGTTTTCAGCCCCTCTCAGGCCTTCCACTAAGGATCGCCATAGCCGGTGTCTTTCACCGTCAGACTTCTCAGACCCCTCGTGGTGCAGCGTCTCTGGGATATTCCAAAAGTAGGTGGTGGCCAAAAGAGCCATGGCTGCCTCGGGGAAACATGGGAGGAAACAAACGGCTGTTTTATCCTGGCCATTGGGTTGTCATCCAATACAGGGCTTTCCGTTTTTATTTCTTTCAAGTCCTGGATCTCAGGCTGTCACTGGTGCTCTACAAAGCAACACATGGTTTCCATAAGAGGACATTTGGCCACACAATGCTTTTAGCTAACAAAATCGGAAGTGGGAGTATATGAGTATTGTGTTTCTCGTGGGATGCCACACTGCTGGTAACATCTGGTAGAGGTCGAAAATCGCTGAGGGGCGATCTGCTGAAAGGCGGCCCACAAGTTGACAGAGATAACTCTTGGGATCTTCATTCAGTACGCATTGAATCTCTGTGGAGCCTGAAGGGTGCTTTGTACTTAGATAGTGTCGGTGAATCTGGCTGGATGTGGGTTGCTTTGTGTCCACACGTTTCTGCGAAACACCTATGTGCCCGTCTTTGGCTTTCTGCGGGGCTGATACCTGAACTGCCAATGCCATCAATTTGTTACTGGTTGGTGGTTGACCTACGCCCCTGAAAAATGATGGGGTGAAAGTCAGTTGGGATGATTATTCCATTCCCAATATGATGGGAAAGTCATAATCCATGTTCCAGTCACCACCAACCAGGTACTAATTTTGCTGGTCAATCGCAAGCGCAACAGCAACCCGCTGTTAAACCGCTCCAAGGCGCTAGAGAAGACCAAAACCTCCAGGCCGTTGTGAAACTGTGAAGCCACTACTACTGGTTGGTGGTGCAATGTGCCCATCTTGAAAAACATGAAAGTCAATGGGAAGGATGACATCCCATATATGATGGAAAAAATGTTCCAAACCACCAACCAGATTATGATTGTTTTTTAAACATGACTGGCTGGGAAGTGCCTATCTGAATGGCAAAATCATCTGCATTTAAAGGCGACAAGCACACATGTCAGGGAGAACTTTTGGAAAGAACAAGCTCATAGATGTGCCTGCTTTGATTTCCTCATATTTCCTCTATATGCATGCATCAGCATTTTTGGAACTCTTCAGTAGGTAATCAACATTTCACATGATATTCAACCTGCCCAAAAAGGGAGACGAAACACCAACAAAAGCCCTGCATCAACCCCCTCAGCCAATCGGCAAGGCAACATGCCACTCAAAAATGTCTAAGTAGCAAACAAGTCATGAACATGGATGATAGGCGACAAGCAAGAGTCTGCTGTGACATGAACAACAGAAGGTACAAGTACATTGATGATTATTTTTGAGGGTTCGGGTATCTATCTATATATATATATACATACAAATATGTATAATGCACATACATGTCCCCTGATTCTTTTGCTTTTACTGGCTCTACCACAACTCTACTGGCTCTTTGTTGGATCCCTGATGTTTTTATCGCTGAGCAACGGAAAGTAGTTGGTGAGATGTGCCCGTAGCACTGGATAGCCGCTGAGCAATGCCAGGAGACCTGGTGCGACAAATGGCTGACCTCAATGGGGATATCAAATTGGAAAAACAATGCTAGCTATGTGTATAAATATATATATATATGTAATCATGTATATAAACATAAATATTTGTGTATATATAATATATATATATACATGTAGATATAATGTGGGGATCATCTAGGGTTATTGATATACGTGTTCCATATTCAATGTGAGATCAATCTAAACCCAGGTGGCACCGTCCCGCAGGCGATCGGGCCGGAAATCTTTTCTCCACTAAATCCACGACACATAAGTTGGGTTCACGGCCCATTTTCAGAGAAACTGAAAAAATCCCACATTGTCGATTGTACCAAATCAGATCCGAATTCTATCCAGATTCTCAGTATATTCCCAAAACCATCACTGGATTCACTGGATATTCCATAATCATCGTCAGTATATTCCCATATCTAAACGTCTTCCCATGATATTCCGACGAAAAAGACCTTCCCCCCATGTGGCCATGGCAGCCATGGCACTGGCCATGTTCTTTGCCATCTCTAAAGCGCTAAAACAATCACCTCCGTAGGGATAGGCATTTGGATATCAATTGTATAACATAAGATAAATTCATGTGGTAAAGCCAATACTTCATATGTGAGCCATTTGTGGGGATGTTTGATTTATTGGTCGGTTTACCGCATTATACCATGAACATGGGATAAAGATGGGATGAACATAAGATAAACATTGCCGGAGACTGTTCGGGAATCAGCTACATGGCGGGCCGCTGGGAAATTCTCGTGGCTTAGCCATGGAGGTTTAGTTCGCTATAAATGAGTGATTTTCCAGCCAACCATGTTTGGTAACTAAATGGTAAACATGGGATTGTTCAGGACCCACCATGTGGGTTTCAGTATGTTCTAACTTCAAGGGATTGATTAGCATGACACTAGATTTCTTAAGCACCACACATGGTGTAGATTGAAGCCAAACAAGATGTTTTTTGCTGTGCGCCCACGCATGAAGCAGCTTGGCAAACTTACACATCCCCGCCTTTGACTCTGGCACTTTGACCGAAACAGATTTCACCTAGAATCGTGACTTGGTTGACCACTACACACCAGGTAAACATAGGTAAACCAGGTAATCCAATATGGGAGGAATCATCTCAGAGTCCTATAAGATGCTGATATTTTTTTGCCATCCGACCTCGTGTCTGAGCGTCTTCCCGGGTGAGGTCTGAAATCATGCCTGCTGACCGGAGCAACAGGACAGGAGTTTATATCCCATGTCAAGCAGGTTGGCAGGTTGTCAGGGGACATTTTTCACCTACAATCACCATATATCACCATCATCAAACAAGCTAGAACTACCGTGTTCATCATCAACATCGTTTGTCAGCAAACTGCTGGCTCAACTGCCTATACTGATGAAAACAATACACGACATCTAGCCACGCCATGCTGCGTCCAAGGCACAGTTCAAGGCTGGGTACATTGGTGAAGCACTCATCACTTCGAAGATATTCTGCACCTGGGAAACACAGCTCCGACCCAGCCAATTCATGGGCCACTGCTGACTTTGTTTTCCATCGTTGAACAAATCTTGAAGTCTTGTGGTTTGCAAACCGTTAGAGCAATCGAGGGAGGGAATCATATGCATACAAATATGTTTGAGTTGGTCCAAACACTTGCCTTTCCCAAGTGAAACTGACCATGTTTCATGCCATGGCCGACGTGGGTCCCAGCGCAAAAAGTCAGGATTTGCATCTGAAGATATGCTGCCCTCCATGCGTGACCTTTCCCCCTTTCTATTGGGATGCATATCTGCATATCCCTCAATTTTTGCAGTGATCTCCCGTCATGTGCCCACATCCTGGGCTGAGTCACAATGATGATCACGACAAAGGATGACCAGTTCAGGAAGCAGGAGAGTGTCAACAGCAATTTCACCATGATACCTGGGGAAATCGATGGCAGATTCACGGAACACCCTGCATTCTGTGTGCAACCATCTATGATCTATCTGAATCTATCTATATCTTATGCAGGCAATGTGGTAGCTGGAACTTTAACACTGGTGCGAGGGAGAATGATTCCGTATCTGACATAGTGGCTGTTGGCGTCCACTCTCTGAGCTTTACAGAGAGATTTCCATCAGATCATCTACTGTACAGCCGTAGAGTCATTCTCCAAAAATCAACCGCTGGTTCAGAGTTGCAGGTGATGCTTACAATCTGCAAACGAAAGGAAACCCAACATGTTTTGGCACACTGAAAGTGAGTAATCTGAAAGTGAGTAATCAACGAGGAACATCTGAGGGTAATCTTACTCTTACAGCAGTGGACAAGAGAATGTTTAGCCAAAACCAACCTGCTGCTTCCCCTCAGATCACCGACTCCTGAAATTTAGGGACACCAAGTTCCAGAAATGCCAAGGTTAGTCCCTTTAACAACCAACAGTACCAACAGTACCAACATTCCCAGCAGTAACAGTAGCATTGGAATCCTCCTCATCACCATCATCACCATCTTTGTCGAAGCACTCATCAAAAGAAAGAAGCGAATCACAGGCCTTCGGCCCATCCTGGCCATCTGGAAGGCCCGAAAGAAGCAGAACTGGTTTCCCCCAACCCTTTGAACCGTTTATGCAGAGATTCTTTACTAACACTAACATGGGGAAATCACATGAGCAGTGTTCAAAATCCAGCTATCATTCCATTATACTGGTTGGTTTATAGGGATTTCCCTATTGGATTATTAGAATCCCCAATATATTGGGTAGTATAATCCCCGAACTAATCATCAACCAACCATCATTTATCAATATCTATCAACTATATCAATTATAATCCTATATGTTTGATGGTTAAATCCCACATAAATGCCATTTAAATCATCAACCCTGCCAGGGGTAGATCGCAGCCATCGCACCCACCTATCCATGTAGGCTCCAGCCAGAAGCACGGTAATCATCCCAATGCCACTGGAGGTTGAGGAATTGATACCGTTGATACCTGCCGGATACACTGAGGATATGTATATGATTGTAAATGCATATAGATATAGATGATATAGATGATATAGATTTACGTGATTCACTATCTTCATTTAATCCCCACATATTTCTTGGAAATCTTCTCGCCAATTTCCACATCAATCGCCCAGTTTGGATGGGGATAACGCCAATCCAGAAGCACTCGAGTTGAACATGTCACCAATGAACTCCTGCCTAACATCGCCCAATCTGCACTTTGGAAGACTACTTTCCTCCAAAAAATTGGTGATTCTAAGGGTCCACGTTACTCAGGTTTTTCTACCCGGCGAGGGACGCGCTGCTTCGCTGAGCACATGGTTCTTTTGCGCGCAATGCACCTCAGGTGGTGACCCAAAATCGCTGGGTGCACGGTAGATTCTGGCCATTAAAAGTACATAAACATGTAGTGATTTGAGCCATTTTCACCAGGAAACATGCAGGTATAACCAGCAATGGTCCATCTCTACCCCAAACAGGCATTAAAGCTTTTAATATGTCAACCTGGACTGTGCGAGGGTCGATTTGACAGAATACTGGTGATTTGACCAATTTCCAAGCCACACATTTTGACCAATCAAGCCAGAATAGACATATGGACAACCGAAACAGCTTAATTGAGGGAGAATCAAATAGAATCAATCATTGTGAGGCATCCGAGACTGGAGCAAGGTGGCCTGGCAGGAAACCACACCATTTCCCTGTGCGAAACATGGATCACTTACTCCTCGGAGTCATAGGGCTGTAATGGGCTGTATCAGCATCTACGAATTTGTGGTGGTTATGCACGCATTTTTGCTGACGAAATCCACATTTCTTTCTGTCCCAAGACTTTCCCATCATACCCTGGATTCATTAATCCTGGCTGTCCTGTCTATCTGATTTTCAAAGTGATCCGCTCTTTGATTTTTGCCTAAACCAACTGGGAGTTTTGATCAGAATTACATTGGTCCAACTGGGAGTTTTAGTTGACCATAGTGCCATGGTGCTGACAAAGACCAGTCCGGGCTCCACCTCAGAAACGCTGATAGGCCCGAGACTTTCCAATTTATACAGAAAATACCATAAGATATGTTTATATATGCTTATAAAACTTATATAGCTATCACATACATAAAATTTGTACGGTTTGCAAGAGCTATATCTATGTAAACTGACTAACTAAGAAACCACTGTTGTTGCTTAAAAAAAATCCTTTTCTCATCAAACCACCAAGTGCAAGTGGGTGCCAGGAGAAACACCACAAAATCCAATTTTTCTGCGGCCAACAAAAACAAACAGAGAAGCACTTGTCTCTATACTTGCAAACTACAGGGTAAACTACAGGCCACATTCCAATCTCTAAATTGCCCTTGAAGTGCTCTTAATCATGCTAAATGGCATCATGGCTGCACTTACGATACACCGCTAACACGTTACTCTTTCGATAAATATTATCTCTCTTCATTCATTGCTAAGAAACAACCCATTCGCCTTCCAATCACTAAGCTTTACCCTTTCAAAACTGTCTAGGACGGTACAGATCAAACCTTGTGGGTTTGCCCAAAAATAGAATACCCTCAACATCCACTGGTTTGAACACCTTTCAAACTTCATTTCCTTCACAAAACATGCCAGAAATTGGGGGGTTCTATCTCTGCAACCCAAGGACCGGTCTGCCGCGACACAAACACCTTGCTCAAATCCTTGGTACTCACCCATCCATGGGATTTATGGATTGTAATTCCTACCCATATTAAACACCACCCATAAACCATGGTTTAATGGGGAATGAAACCACATATTTGGCCATGTTTTGGGGGTGTCTAATATAAGTGGATGGGATTCATTGCTATATCCCAAAATATATGGAGAGGTTTTATCACGCAAGTACTACCCATGGATGGATCATCAAACCGGAGGTTGTTCCACTTCAATCCTCAACATATCCACGTAACAAACCACAAATCTATACCCCAGTTACCTAACAAGAAACCTGACTCTTGACACAAACCAAGCATGTACCTAGAGGTCTGATACACACCGGCCGAACCTAAGGTTCGCCCAACCTTTTACCACCATTTTCACATCTCTCTTCAGCTTCGGTGCAAATAACATAACAACATGTAAAATTTTGCCACACCCCTGAAGCAATATGTAGAAAGATACAACAACGGATTTGATCTGTACACACACACAGGGTATAAATCTTCCACCCTCCTCAAGCCGTACGTAAAAGGTCAATAATAATGGGTTTGCTCTCCAAAACGACATACACAAGGGGTCTAAATCTGCCACTACCAAAAAAATATGTAAAGGGTAGAATAATTCTAAAACAATAGGCAGAAAAGGTCTAAATCTGCCACCCCCTAAAAACCAAGATGTAAACGGGTAAAACAATGGAATCACTCTGCAAAATGCCACGTTTGTGGTTTCTCAGTAACTCGCGGCGGCAACAACCCTTCGCAGACTTCGTCGGGGCCCGTTGAAAAAATAACCATTTTGTGCGACAGGCGTGGGCTCCGGGCAAACGTCCGGTTCCGCGGACATGTATATAGTTGAGATGTTCAAAAAGTGTACATTGTTGTGGCGCGAAGCACATTTCGAAGTCAAAATGTACAAAGCACCTCATGTTCGGACCACTTTTGGAAGTTGAGATGTCGAAAAAGTGCACACCGTTGTGGCGCGAAGCACATTTCGAAGTCAAATTGTACAAAGCACACCATTCTCGGGATGTGGTTTTGTGTGGCAGGCGCAAGGGATTCTGCACCCTGCCAAAAGTGGGCAAAACGTGCGGGTTTTGTGGCATTTCCAACAACGATGGCAGGCGTGGGACATTTGAAGAGGAAGTGCAAAGATGCATCTCGTGTGGCAAGCGCAATACAAGAGACATGTTCGTCAGAGATGTTAGGAGTTCAGGGCGCTGATTTCATGAGAGGGGTTGCATTTTCCAGCATCGGATCTTCAAGTTTGCTAAGATGATTTTGCGTGACAGGTGCAGCACTTCGTACAACCTGGCCGCATTTTTGCGTGGCAGGCGCAGTACTTTAGACAGATGGAGTGGAAAAATCGCAAAACGCATTGGTACGAGGCCAGCAGCTTTGCAGTCAAACTTTGCATTTTTGAAGGAAGTCTCGCAGAATTGCTCAAAAATTGAGGAAGTCCCACAGAATTGTTTCGATTTTGACGTTGTCAAGTTCGAAACTTGAGGAAGTTGCGCAGAATTGCTGCGTTTTTGATGTTGTCACACCTTCGAACATGGAGGAAGCCTTGCAGAATTGCTTCGTTTTCAAGCTTGCAGATAGACAGATAGATAGATAGATAGATAGATCGACAGCTACAACTACAACTACCACTACAATACTCTGACTACAACTACAAATGCAAATAAACTACGCTACATTCACTGCACTAACTACACGACACTACACTACACTACATCTAATTACACTACACTACACCAATTCTACTACTACTACTACTACTCCTGCTGCTACTACTACTACTACTACTACTACTAGTACTAGTACTAGTACCAGTACCAGTACTAGCTACTACTACTACCACCACCACAACTACAATTGCAACTACACTACATTACGCTACAATACGCTAATTACACTGCAGCACACTACAAATACAAATGCAAATACATGTACAGCTACACTAGATTACACGAATTATACTACATTGCATTGCATTACAATACATTACACTACAAGTACAGCTGCAATTACAACTGCAACTACAGCTACCACTACATGACACTACGCTACACTACGCTAATTATACTACACTACAACTACAACTGCACTACTTTACACTACACTACACTAGACTACACTATACAATACTACAATACACAGCACTACAGTACACAACACTACACTACAGTACGCTACACTACATTTACACCACACCACAATTACAACTGCAAGCTGCAACTAATTACACTACATTACAACTACAACTCCACTACACCACACTACAACTACAACTCCACTACACTACAACTACAGCTACCGCTGCACTACACCCCACTACATCCAGCAGTTGTGGTGAGGTGACCACTGCAACCATTGCAGCCACTCCAAAAAACACAACTCCAACCACCTGTCGGTCTGTCAGTGGATTCGCTCTGCCATCTGTGATTCACAACAACCGACCTCTCCTATAGGTTTCCTATTTTTGAAACTTCCGCCAGCTACTACTGGTACATACATACATACATACATACATACATACATACATCCCGTCCCATCCCATCCCATCACATTACATTACATCCCATCCCATCCCCTTACATTACATCACATTACATTACATCCCATCCCATTCCATCCCCCATTACATCCCAGCCCATCCCATAACATTACATTACATCCCATTCCATCCCATCCCATTACATGACATTACATTCCATCCCATTACATTACATCCCATCTCCTTACATTACATCACATTACATTACATCCCATCCCATTCCATCCCCCATTACATCCCAGCCCATCCCATAACATTACATTACATCCCATTCCATCCCATCCCATTACATTACATTACATTCCATCCCATTACATTACATTACATTCCATCCCCTTACATTACATCACATTACATTACATCCCATCCCATTCCATCCCCCATTACATCCCAGCCCATCCCATAACATTACATTACATCCCATTCCATCCCATTACATTACATTACATCCCATCCCATTCCATCCCATTACATCCCATCCCATCCCATCCCATTACATGTATATATATAGATATGAAACATTATAAAGCCATGGTGACCCCATGATCTTCGCCAAGTCACTGGAGCCACTGGGGCAATGGCCGGCCAATGGTTGCGGCCAGGGACACCGGGTGTTGCTCTCTACCTGAGGCGATGTACACATCATCTGGCAAGATCTTCACCAATTTCCTGATATATCTTGTATGATGCGCCCATGTCATTTCGCAAAACATGCAACTCGTATGTATCAAGCAAGGTTACGCACTAATCATCCAATCATTACAGATCGTATTTCGGTCCAAAACACCATGGGCAAAAGAGTATCTAATGACATGGCAGCGACTGGTTCCTACCTTGCAGACCTAGTGAAACACAGAGATATTACACATGGCTGGTGGTGTTCCAACATGTTTCAATGAAACGCACATGAAACAACCATCCATCAATCCAAATGGGGATCAAGTTTTAGTAGTTTCTGGATGATCTATGATCCTTGCGCGTGGAGGTGATGGCCTTTGGGCGCTTTAACAACTACATATGATATATTACTACATATGATATATATATATATATACACATGTGACATCATATGTGTATGTTTTTTTCCCTCCAAAAATGGTTGTAAACCCAGCTTTTTGGTGGGATATAGTGGGATATAGCCTCTAATCAAACACGGCTTGCTGGAAGATCACCCAGCAAATCTGGGTTCCGAAATCCCAAGTGTTGCTGGGACATCTTTTTACTACGAAGCTTCCACTAATTTTTATCAGCGATTTTTCCAGGATTCTTTGTCAGAAAATAGGCTACGTCCAAGATGCCATTGTTTTTTGAATACAGCATCTTTTTTCCCTATTATTTGGAATTAAATTAAGGCTAAATCCATGATTTCAATCAAATCACATCATATTGCCGAATGAATATCCAATTTTATCCGCATCATATCCCCAATATCTCCCAGTATATCCTCATTGTCTCCACATTTTCAGGGCATGCCCCAGTTGGGGACTCTCACTTTGCCCACGGCTACATCGAGCAGCGAAGGCATCGAAGGGATCTCCAGAAAAGTACTGGAACCAAGACCTCCAGTGCCGGTTGGTCAAATTCGGGTCCAGGGAGAGAGAGATAGAGAGAGAGATAGAGAATTCCGAAACAGGCCCTGAACTGGTGGATTTTTTCCGGCACAAACACTATTACAAGGTTAATAGGGATTTTGATGACATATTCATGGAATTGTAATGGGATTCAATAGGGATTACTACTATGTGAAAGTAAGGATGCTCTTTCAACCTCATCAGCTGGGGAAGAACCATGTACCAAGATGACACGGTGGCTATTCTGGGTGATCTCACCCTACTGTTCTGCATTTGATGGTGGAATAATTGCATTATAATCTGGTTGGTGGTTTCAACCCCTCTGAAAAATATTAGTCAGTTGGGATCATTATTCCCAATATATGGAAAAATAAAACATGTTCCAAACCACCAACCAGTAATATATTATAATCCCATCCGGCAGTCATATACGTTACACCCCCCATTCGTCTCAAATAGATGTGGTATCATAAACCATAGTTTTTGGTGATGAATACGAACGAGGGATGGGATTATATCAGTAATATCCCCATTATGTACCCATGTGATGTAAACTTCTTGGCTGCAAATATGGCTGAGAGACTTCGTCTGCATCTGAGGAGCATCCAAAAAACAAAGGTCAGGATCAAAGAGAGCTCCGGCAAGCTGGCTGCCCCTGCTGTGAGACATTTCGATCGCGTGTTTTGGTCTTGAGGTGAGACAAACCCCTGGTTGGTCTGTGGTAATTTTTGCATGTTTTTTCTATCTGAAGAACCCATTAAAATACAGAATGAACTGGCAATCTCGAGGAATGGTGTTGAGAGGAACTGAGAAAAGAGCTGGGCGAGGTTTTTCAAGTGCCTCGTTAAAAGCAACTTACTCAAGGCCTGCTTCAGTAGGAAGAACATGACTGGGACTGGGTTCTCGCCGCACGGATTAGAGATGGCATCCGGATTTTTTGTCCTTTAAGTTTGTAGTCACCTGACCATTCTCTTCGACATCCCCGATTCCATTACCATTCTCGATATTCTTGATTACGTTGTACCACCGCTGGCCATCCCCATATCGAGTTGCTGCGGAAATGGCCGTTCCCATGGCACCTTTCTCAGTGACCACGAAGCGTAATCCACCGGCCAAGAGTAGGCAGCATGCACCGCAGTAGACGGCTCCCCGGTATTTCCCTGCGAATGGGTACAGGGTCAACTCACCGCTTTGACTCAAACAGCTGATGGGTGGCCGAGAACCAGTTCCACACATATTTGGAACGTATGGGACCTCGTATAAAGCGCTAGTTCCACTGCAACTGGCAGTTTGTGAAGGTGTATACAGTACCATTCTGATGGCTGGGTATTGTTCTCCAAGAGTTGTGATGGTTGCTGTCAGTTGCTCTCAGTTGCCGTCAGTTGCCGTGCACCCCTGGCCTTCCGCAGCGGCATCGGTGAGCACAGAGCTCCTGTGTTAAAAAAAGTGGATCCCAGTGGTGCAAACGGCACCGTTGAGATGAGAAATCGGGAAATCGGGAAATTGAATCTGAAACATCTGAAACTCCATTCACCAACCACAAAATGCAGTTGAAGAGAGCCATTCTGATACAGCAGACGCAGGGTGATAAACCATGAAGATGATCCAATGGTCATTTTTAGGTCGAACACGGAACATTTCTTGGTTTCCAGCCCCCTGCGATCTTCAGGACTGTAAACAGAATATTGGGCCCAAAGGCCATCAAACACCCGCACATTTTTTTAAAACTTTTTGAACCCATCCAAAATACACATCTGTTGATCCATCATGGCAAAGTGGCAATGGGAAATCCCTATTTTTGGACAGAAAAAAACGTGATCCTCCGTTGCTACAATCACCACTCGAATGTACTTGGCCTTGGTTGCTACGACATGTATGTTGCTTAAACATGCGTAAAGTGCAATGTCAATGTCAATTGGTTTCCATTTTCAGTTGCTTGACGCCATCTAACCACTCATCTTTGCTGGTTGCACTTCCTCCTTTGATCCTATTTTTTTCCGAACATACAAGGAACGGTCTTCTATGCTTAACAATCAAGTATATCACACAACCAAAAATTTCACCTCCCCATCCTTCATTCATTGCCCCTGAGTTGACCCATTTGGGTCTGACAAGTTTTTTCCGAACATTGCCCTTGGCCATCCATGGCAATTAAGATTTACCAAATGTTTCAGATAACCCATGATCATCTTGTTTGTTCTAAATCCTATGATATTCAATGATATCCATATATTCAGTCTCCGTTTTGCTAGTAACTAGTAAAGCCTATTTCATTTTCTAGTATGTACAATGGGAGAGGAGAAGTTCTGAGAAAACATTTTTTCGGGATAATCCCGCATACATCAACATAAATCCATGGCACATCCACATTTTTGGTGATACTCTTCATGTACCAGACCCTTCCCATATGTTACGGCTGGTTATAGATATATTTTAATCATATTTTCGTACATTTATGTTGGCATATATATATATATACACATATAGAGCAGTGTGTATGTATAAATTTGAAGCAGAAATATAGATTTAAAAACAAATGCCAAGACAAATAAATGCAAATAGGTATCTATGTATGTATGTATGTATGCATGTATGTATGTATGTACGTACAAATGCCAAGACAAATAAATGCAAATAGGTATCTATGTATGTATATATGTATGTATGTATGTATGTATGCATGTATGTATGTATGTACGTATGCACGCACGTATGTACGCACGCACGTACGTACGTACGTACGTAAGTATGTATGTGCACACGTTCGACGAATAAATTTGCTCCCTGAATAAATCCAAACATTCTCGGATTAAATCCCATCATATTCCCATGTAGTCATAAAAACAATGGTGAATAAACTCTGATGATTGATGGTTGGTGGTTCATCAACCCTTAATCCAAACATTCTATACCCATTATACCCATTAAAAAACAATGGAAAAGACCTATTATATCACCATTTTTGTTGGTTTTTTACGGTTAAACCGAGCGTTTTTACCATGGAAACATGTCAAACACCTATCTCCTGGTGGTCTTCACCGAGCTCTGTAGCAACGACACGCGCAGCTCCGGCAGATCATCACCCACGTCTTGGCGTTTCGACACACACTTGCCCGTGTTTTCACTGTGCTGATACACATCAAGATGTATATGTTTCTATATATTTCTATATGTTTCTATATGTTTGTATATGTTTCTATATGTTTCTATATGACTCTATATGATTCTATAGGTTTCTATATGTTTATATGTTTCTGTGTTTTTATACTTTTCTATATGTTTCTATATGTTTTGATACGTTTCTATATGTTTCTATAGGTTTCTATATGTTTGTATATGTTTCTATATGTTTCTATATGTTTCTATATGATTCTATATGATTCTATAGGTTTCTATGTATATATAAAAGATGTAGCAAATATGTTCTTTATAGATCTTTCGAAGACAAACATACATATATGATATTTCGTTGATGTAAATAAGCAAAGTCGATTTGTGGTTGATATGAACCATGAGTGGTTGGTTCATCAAAAACCGTGCCAGTGAAGTTGGAAGTTCAAAAAAAAGAATGACGATCCTTAAATATCACCAAATCCAAATACAATTTCGTATTGATACTCTTTAGGTTCAAATGAAACTCCAAAAAAAGTGCATCTGAAAAGGTAGCCCAGTTTGGGATGCTACGCCAAGTGGCATGATTGGCATGCTGTGTCTGCGCACGTCAACACAGCACCTGGTGATTAAACAGGGCCGCACCGTTGACCCAGAATAATTGGCTTAATTTTCCCAAGAAGTGGTGATGAATGGCGATTGATGGTGCTCAGTAGGGATTCAATGGTGATTAAACAAAACCAATAACAAACCGATAAAACCATTAAAGCGATTCAACACACCAATGATGATTGAACTTGGAAACATACTGGTATAATCAGCAAAAAAGGATATGAATGATATGAGTGACCAAAATGCCTTCATTGCGGACAGCTACCGGCAACACATTGGTTTTGGTTTCTTCTGGAGAGTTGGCGCAGAATCCGGCAGGACGCGCCGCCACAGGGTAGCGATTGGATATGATATAAAATCACCATAGGAATGTCAACCAAGAAACATTGTGGTTATATGAGGTGAGAGGGTCTGTCAGCCTACTGTACCTCTAAGGAACATCAAGGATACTACCAATATATATATATATATATCAAGCCCGGTCCCAAAAAGGCACCAAAACATGGGGATGAACGTGCCGTTCTCCTTCCAAGTAGCCTGTACTTGAATGATTACTGCTATGTGAGAGGTTTGTTTTGTAAGCAGGGGATAGATTCCATCCTGGATAGACTAGACACCGGGGAACTTGGAAAGCCGATCAACATCCGATAACAAGGCTCCGTTCGAACCATCCCTGAAACGGAAGCAGGAATCAGGAAAAATCAGGAAAGCCATATATAAAGCCTCAATCTCGTTCAACCTCCACTCAGCCATTTCAAAGTCTGGGAGTTTCTGGGTACCCTAAAACCATTGGTTTCCCATTCAACATGACCTTCGGATGATTTTGGGGTCCCCCGTTTTAGGAACCACGTTTGCTTGGATTCCCGTTGAATATCATTGGAGTTTCTCTGATTCAACTTCAACAGCTCCCTGGGCACGAGAAACTTGGCCCCACACCCGGCCTGCTGCCAGTGTCAGCCAAAAGGCATGACCTAAGGCCCAGGATGTGTGAATCAGGTTTATGTTCAATATCTCAATCACCACCAAGTATCACGTGATACCCATTGATAAACCATCAAATTTTAGGATTTTCATCTAAATTTTCAGATGGCCCCATTTCAAGTCGGAAGTCCATAACTCCTGCAGTTCCTTGGAGTTTGCTCCTCTGCTTCAACCTTTTTGGACAGGGTCCAAGGAGTCCCGTTGCTGGTCTGTTAAACTCACTAATCCATGGGATATGCATGGATACGTTAATTTGGTATGTTTTAATATCTGTCTAGTTCCATTTGGTGTTACTGTGACTAAACATCCTGGTGTGGGGCTTTATTTTTGTTACCCATTGAGTTCATCGGGCTTCGTCGCATGCACCAGCCCCAGCCCCTTTTGCCAAGAATCTCCAGCTCATAACATCAGCGGCACGCGAAACAGCGCTGGGCTTGCGACATCTTCATGCCATGTTTTGAGTTGACGTCGCTGCTCGTTCAGTAGAACAAATATTCATCAGTTCCCTGACTCAAGCGACATGACATCGAGGCTGAGTATCTTTGAATCAAACATGACATCCTCCAATATCATCCATCTCAATCCATCTGATAGGACACTGCGACTCAAACATGACATGTATTGATATGTATTGATATGTATTGATATGTGTTGATATGTCAATGTGCTAAGTTTCATTTCCTTCCTCCTTTAATCATCGCGTTTCGGTCACGTGGTCAAAGTTGGGATCGGGTTTCGGTTCCCCAGATCCCAGCTGCATCGAGAATGGCCAAGATCCACATGTCCATGTTGTCCAAAGAAAAAAGACAAAAAAAATGATGAAGTGATTTTTCTGACTTTCTGATGTGGTTTCTTCAACTTGCGGACCGCAAGTTAGAGAAGACTCCGTCGCATGAGCACTGAGGGCCCAACCCAACTCATCGCTGGACATTCCCTGGTTGGCCAATGGGACCAAACCGTTCGATTCTCATCAACCAACATGTGACAGCACATCTTTGAATGCAAACAGTGATAAACAGTGATATGCATATATATATATATACATATCATCAGTCCTTGACTCCCGGATTCCTGTTCTATGTGGTCCAGGCCTTGTGAAAGTCGGACTTGGAGGGCGAGTTGC